AGGCAAGATACCCATTCTCCCCCCCCCAATCAAGCCAGAAACACACACACTCCCCAGGGGCAACCACCACCGCCCCACCCCTTCCCTTCCCTTCCCCCAAGGCCACCCTGCCTCCCCTCCCTCAGTGGCCACCCCCACGCCCCTCCCACGGACAACCCCCCCGCATCCCTCCCTCCCTTCCCTTCCCGCAGGGACCGAGCTCCTCCCTCCCCTCACCCCCTCCTCCCTCTGGGGCCTCACCCCCTCCCCAGGGACGAGGGCCCCACTTCGCCCCCTCCCCTCAGGCCCCTTACCCGCTACCTCAGCGGCCCCCCAGCACGGCCCTTCGCACCTGCCGGGATTCTCACCCCGACAAGCCGGCTCCCCGCACTGCGCATGCTCCCGCTCCAGCTTGCAGCCCTATGACGGCGCTTCCGAACGCGATGCGCGCAGGTGGCCGGAGGGCGTGGCCGAAAAGGAAGCTCCGCCCCTCCCGGGACAAGGCGGGGTAGCCACATTGCGCATGAGCACAAAGTGGGAAAAGGAGGGGCGGAGGGCTAGGGAAGACTCCGCCTCCCATTGACCCGCCCCGTTCTTCTCCAGCCCTCCCAACCCACACTGCGCACGCGCGACAAAAAGGGCGGGGCCACGATACGGTAAAAGCGGGGGAGAGGTTCAGAGAAGGTTCCTCCCCTCGGTGACGGTAAGCCGCACCCAGGTTTATCTTTGCCAGTGCGCATGCGCAAGGGCAAGAGGCGGGGAGACACACGTATAGAAGACTCCGCCCTTAATAAAATTGTGGGCCGCCACTCAGTACGCTTGCGCTCCAGCCTGGCCCGCTCTCATTGCGCATGCGCCAAAACGGGACGACGCCCTTCAGGGCCCATATCATTGCGCATGTGCTAGCGCCTGTCCTGTCCCTGTGGCCTTGGGGTCTTCCTGCGCATGCGCCCAGTGGGAGCCAGGGTGTGTCTCGGTACTTGGGTGGCAGAGGGGCCCTGGCGAGTGGGAGGTGAGGGTGTTGCCATGACGCGAAGGACCCTCCCCACTTATGGGGCTTAGGTTGCAGCTGCCTGCTGCCCACTTGTCCCAGTAATAGTGGTTGCAGAGTGCAAATTCATGTTACCATCATTAGGTTCCAGGGTTAACATAATGAGTTCGCTAGATGCAGGAGAGCCTGGCCTGATCCTCCTCTGCTTTATACCCCCACCACCGTTCATCGTTGACCTCACCCCTTACATAGTCATTTACACCCGTGCAAATTCTGGTTTGGTAGCATTTTAAATGGTGCAGATGACTGGTCGAGGTGCAGGGTAGCAATAAAAGGAGACCTTTTATGGACCCAAGTCTCTGTTGATCAATACCTGGTGCAGTCATTTCACCAGTGCAAAATGCTACCGTTCTGATTTGGGCAGTGCAGAAGTGACTGGCCTAGGGTTGTCACCTGCCCAGGTTTTCCCAAGACTATCTCTTTCTTGAGGTAGGTGGCCTGGGAAATCTGCAAGGCTACCCAATACGCACTGCCAGCTGCCCTGTTTTATGGGCTCATGAACATCCCCGTTCTCCCTGTTTTTGTACCTCAGAGTAGCAGCTCTACTTAGTCCTGTTTTGCAGTTTATTCCTATGCAGAGTGTAAAATGCTGCCAAATCAGAAAATCGCGAGAACACCTTACACTTAGGTTTGGTCTACACAAAAAAGTTACGTCAGCACACCCCTGATGGACATAGATATACCAACAAAAACCCCAGTGTGGATACGGCTATGTTGATGGAAGAGGACTGCTTTCGAGTGGCTAACGGCATGTGGGGAGGTAGTGTAACCTGCGTCTACACTGTGGAGCTTGGTTGTCACAGGCTCATAGGGTAGACGTACCCTTACCTTGCACAGGTATAGAAAACTGCACCTGGTGAAAGGCTGGGGAGAATCAGGCCTGATGGGGCGGGTGTATGTTTGTTTGTTTTAATGCAAGCTTAAATTTTGCTGCACAATTCTGTGGCAGGTGCTGAACTTTCTGACAAACTGTGGTTGCGGAATTGCGTAATAGCCATTTCCCATCACTCTTTCTTGGTTCTGCCCACACTCACAGTTACCGCACAAAGTTTGACTCACTGGAGCTGCAGTGGTAACAATAATCTAGATTGAAAGGATGCTTTCCTGCCTTTGCGGTGGCTCTTGAGGTTAATATCGGTAATTTCAATAAACCAGGGACAGGAAACGGGCCTTTTTCAGTTCTGCTTCTAGTCGCCCATAAAAAGCTGTTAGCGGGGAATTCAGTTTACGTCATAGATGTTGTAAAGAAAACCAGAGAAAAATGGTGAATACGTGGGCAGACTAAGAAATGAGGAATTGAATACTGGTCTAAGCACAATTTTCATACCGCTATAACTATTTTAAGGGATATGATGAGGTGGATGAGCCTTTCTTCAGGCAACTAACAGAAGTTACTAGATCCCAGACCCTGGTTCTCATGGGGGATTTCAATCACCCCGATATCTGCTGGGACAGCAATACAGCATAGGCGCCAACTTCTCCTGGCGCCGGTGGGTGCTCGACCCGCCCCCGCTCCAACTCCACCTCTGCCCCACCTCCATTCCAACCCCTTCCCCAAAGTCCCCGCCCCAACTCCGTCCCCTCCCTGCCCCTATTGGACGGGGAGGAGAAGTGGGGACGCAGCGCACTCAAGGGAGGAGGCAGAGGCGGAGGTGAGGTGAGCTGGGGCGGGGAGCTTGGCTGCCAGTGGGTGCACCCATCAATTTTTCCCCATAGGTGCTCCAGCCCCGGAGCACTCATCGAGTCGGCACCTATGCAATACAGCAGTGCACAGACAATCTAGGAAGTTTTTGGAAAGTGTAGGGGACAATTTCCTGGTTCAAGTGCTGGAGGAACCAACTAGGGGCAGAGCTCTTCTTGACCTGCTGCTCACAAACAGGGAAGAATTAGCAGGGGAAGCAAAAGTGGATGGGAACCTAGGAGGCAGTGACCATGAGATGGTCGAGTTCAGGATCCTGACAAAAGGAAGAAAGGAGAGCAGCAGAATACGGACCCTGGACTTCAGAAAAGCAGACTTAGGACTCGTCTACACTAGGAGGGGTATCAATCCAAGATACGCAGCTTCAGCTACACGAATAGCGTAGCTGAAGTCGAAGTATCTTGGATCGAATTACTTGGGGTCCACACGGCGCGGGATCGACGGCCGCGGCTCCCCCGTCGACTGTGCTACCGCCGCTCGCTCTGGTGGAGTTCCGGAGTCGACGGTGAGCGCGTTCGGGGATCGATATATCGCGTCTTAACGAGACGCGATATATCGATCCCGGATAAATCGATTGCTACCCGCCGATACGGCGGGTAGTGAAGACGTACCCTTTGACTCTCAGAGGGTATGTCTACACTACAGGATTAATCCGAATTTAGATAATTCGAATTTGGGAAACAGGTTGTATAAATTCGATTGTGCGCGGCCACACTAAGCACATTAATTCGGTTTTTAACCACATTAATTCGGTGGTGTGCGGCCACACTACCCCATTAATTTAAACACAGTAATTCGGTGGTGTGCGGCCACACTAACCCTAATTCGAATTAACAAAATCGATTTAGGCGCTACTCCGTTCGTCGAGGTGGAGTACAGAAATCGATTTTAAGTGCCCTTTAATTCGAATTAACTGGCTCTGTAGTGTGGACGGGTGAAGGGTTAATTCAGATTAACGCAGCTAAATCCGAATTAAAGTCGTAGTGTAGACCAGGCCTCAGGGAACTGATGGGCAGGATCCCCTGGGAGAATAACATGAGGGGGAAAGGAGTCCAGGAGAGCTGGCAGTATTTTAAAGAATCCTTATTGAGGTTGCAGGAACAAACCATCCCGATGTGTAGAAAGAATAGTAAATATGGCAGGCGACCACCTTGTCTTAACAGTGAAATCCTTGCTGATCTTAAACACAAAAAAGAAGCTTACAAGAAGTGGAAGCTTGGACAAATGACCAGGGAGGAGTATAAAGATATTACTCAGGCATGCAGGAGTGAAATCAGGAAGGCCAAATCACAATTGGAGTTGCAGCTAGCAAGGGATGTTAAGAGTAACAAGAAGGGTTTCTACAGATATGTTAGCAACAAGAAGGTGGTCAGGGAAAGTGTGGGCCCCTTACTGAATGAGAGAGGCAACCTAGTGACAGAGGATGTGGAAAAGCTAATGTATTCAATGCTTTTTTTGCCTCTGTCTTCATGAACAAGGTCAGCTCCCAGACTACTGCACTGGGCAGCACAGTATG